CTCTCCCTGCTGCGGGGCCAGTAAGTGGCTCTCGCACCCTTTCTCGGCCTCAGTTTCCCTTCCTGCAGTGATGGCAGACAGGGAGTTGTTGGATGGAACCCTAGTTCCCTTGGTGCACGAGTGAGGACTCCTCCCTGCCACTTGGAAGCACCTCCCAATTTAGCCTCCCTCCCGGAACTCCATAGCTGGGTGGTGGACAAGGGAACTAGAGGAGTCCTCAGAGGAAGGGGCCATTGGAGCTGGGGCTCTGATGGATGAGTAGGAGTTTGCCAGTCCAAAAGGGATTCGTGTCCCTGGCAGAAAAAAGAAAAAAGGTGCAAAGGACTAGAGCAGTGGTTCTCAACCTTCTGGCCCTTTAAATACAGTTCCTCATGTTGTGACCCAACCATAAAATTATTTTCGTTGCTACTTCATAACTGTAATGTTGCTACTGTTATGAATCGTAATGTAAATATCTGATATGCAGGATGGTCTTTGGCGACCCCTGTGAAAGGGTCGTTCGACCGCCAAAGGGGTCGCGACCCACAGGTTGAGAACCGCTGGACTAGAGGGACCATCAGCTAGCATGTAGAGATCAATCAGATAGATTGGGGGATGGGGGATGAGAAGGGACCTTGAATTCTGGGCTGAGGAATGATGGGGGATGGAGGGGTGTATGAAATAGCAGAGAGTTGAAGTCAGGAGATGTCTTGGGGTTAAGGCTGAGGCTACCAAGCTACCAGATCAGGCACACAGTTGGTGCTCAATAGGTGATGTTTGCTTGTACAGATAAACCAATAAATTAATAAATAACAGAATAAATTAATTCACTTATTCAGTAATTTGTTCATTCATCAAAAGTTCCCTGACACGGCCTCTGGGCCAGTTCCTTGCTAGGCAATCCTGGTTTCCAGGAGACCTTAGCTCCTGCCCATCCTTGGGAAGACAGAGCCAGGCACCAAGTCCCCTGCCCCATGTGAACAAGCACAGTACAGAAAAAGGGGCCTGGGGTGGAGGAACCTGGAAGGGAAGTCGAGGCTCCACTGGCTGGACGGATCAAGGAAAGGTGCACATAAGAGGAGACATGAGATGGGGTTCTGAAGCATGTATAGGAGTTTGACACATGTGACAAGTGGCTGGTTGGACTCTGTGAGGGCTCAGAGATGACTTACCGATGCCCCTTCCCTGGCGAGCACTCATCGCTGGCCCCCCACTCTCTTGATGTTTGCTTCCTCTTTCTCTGCCTGTCATTCTCCCATTGCATCTATCTGAAGACGCCTTTCTTCAGGGTTCAAGTCCTAGCTGGATGGTCTTGGGGGGGTCCCTTCCCTTCTGGGTCTCAGTTTCATCATCTGTGAAATGGGGACCAGTGAAAGTGGGAGGGTCAACAATGAGGCAATGCAACTCTGAGGATGGGAACAGTGCAGTTTCTTGGTGTCTAGGTGGGAGCTGGGAGGGTGGTAGGGGCATGGGGTGTTCAGGTATATTCCATGCAGGTCCTGTTGGGCAAGAGGTGGCCCCAGGGCACTCTGGAGGCAGCATGAAGAGGTCTCAAGCCAGCCTGCAGAGGTCAGTGGCTGCTGGCAACATGGCCATGGGCTTCCTTGCCATGGCCTGGCCCCTGGTGCTTGTCCGGGGGGCCAACACCTACTCCCTAGGGATACCATCTGAGTTGGGGGGCTCTGAGAAGTTGCATGTGACCCGCACCTATGCCTACAGCCCTGTGTCCAACTCATGCCAGTCCAGGCAGGCATACTCACAGGACAGCAGCCCGCCCATATCCCGGGGCGCTGGGTCCCCCTACAGCATTTCTATTGGCTGGGGGCGGTGGGGCCTCCACAGCGCTGGCCGGGAGCTGAAACAGAAACAAGAAGACTGAGCCTAGATGGCTCCAAACCCTAGAAGCACCTGCCAGCCTGTGCGCCTGCTGGAGGCCCGGGCAAGCCCTGCAAAACCACCCAGCCTCAGTCTCCCACCTGTGAAATGGTCTGCTTCCCAGGCATTGATATTCACCACACGCCCCCAAATGTGCCTGGGACATTGTGTCACATAAGAGCTGGGCGCCTTAGCCCTGGCCAATGTGGCTTAGTTGATTGAGCATTGTCCCCTACACCAAGGTCACCGGTTTGATTCCCGGTCAGGGCACATGGCCGGTTGCAGGTTCGCTCCTCAGTATGGGGCATGTAAGAGGCAGCTGATGGATGTTTCTCTCATAGATGTTTCTAGTTGTGTTGTGAGTGGGAAACACGCCAGATTTCAAAGACATGGTCCAGAAAAAGGTGTCATGCTAAAATGATCATATTTTTGAGATATAGAGTGATGTGAAACATTACAAAACTGTTCTTAATTCTACTAGAAAGTTGAAAATTATGTGTGTGGTTTGTCTTTTATTTCTACTGGCCGGGGCTGTTTGGACCCATAGGCCAAATCCAGATATTGCCTTTTATTTTTTTGGTGGCCCATGAGCTAAGAATGGATATTACATTTTTTAAAAATATTTTTATTAATTTCAGAGAGGAAGGAAGAGGGAGAGAGAGATAGAAACATCAATGATGAGAGAGAATTATTGATTGGCTGCCTACTGCACGCTCCCCACTGGGGATCAAGCCCGCAACCTGGGCATGTGCCCTTGACCGGAATCGAACCTGGGACCCTTTAGTCCTCAGGTCAATGCTCTACCCACTGAGCCAAACCAGCTAGGGCTGGATATTACATTTTTAAGTGGTTGAAAAGAATTTTTGTAAGTATATTTTTATTAATTTAAGAGAGGAAGAGATAGAAACATCAATGACGAGAGAGAATCATCAATCGGCTGCCTCCTGCATACTCACCACTGGGAATTGAGCCCGAAACCTGGGCATATGCTCTGACCAAATCAAACCATGACTTCCTGGTTCATAGGTCAATGCTCAACCACTGAACCACACCAGCTGGGTGAAAATAATTTTTTACAAAATACTATTACTCAAAGCTTGGAAATCACAAACTATTTAAATTTCGGTGCCCCACCCCCAAAAAACATACAAAAAAAGAAAACCAAAACTAACTAACTAAAATAAATAAATTTCGGTGTCCAAAGTTTTATTGGTGCCCAGCTAGTTGGCTTATTGACTGTTCACCTTCAGCATTAACCGTTATTGCAGAACTGGGTGGTCTCTGGACTGCAGAGTTGAAATACTGACTCTCTGGCCTTTTACAGATACGTTTGCCAACCCCTGGTCTAGGCTCTTGAGTCCCAGAACCCTAGAAATCCAGACTCAGACCTCCCAGACTTTGAAATCCTGGGGTTTCAGAGCTTAGACTATTTATATTTCCATACTTGAAGAATGGGGGGTCAGATCCAGACCATCTTAATACAGTGAATATTGAAATAAAGCAGGTTATAACTTTTCTGTTGATGGAGGGTCTTGCTTTCCATTTGTAAAAACTGCAACACCTGTGAAGCACAAGGAAGTGAAATGCAATAAAATGAGGTGTGCTTGTAATTACAGGACCTCTGCCCAAGGAACTCAGACTGGTCCTATATAATAAATGCTAAGTGTCCAGTGTCCGTTTAACCAATCAAAGTGTAATATGCTAATGATATGCTAAGTTCGCTCAACTGCTCACTATGACATGCACGGACCACCAGGGGGCAGATGCTCTTACCAGTTTAGCTTGCTGCTGCTGGGGTCCAGTCTGATCAGTACTGAGCCAGATAGGCCGGACATGCCCTGGAGCCCTCCCATGGTCCCTCCCCAGCTGGCCAACCTCCTGAGTTCCTCCCCAGCCCCGATCATGCACTGGTGGGGTCCCTCGGCCTGGCCTGCACCTTCTTGCAATCCGGGACCCCTCGGGGGATGTCGGAGAGCTGGTTTCGGCCCGATCCCGCAGGCCAGGCCGAGGGACCCTACTGGTGCACGAATTCGTAGACCTGGTGCAGGCCTCTAGTAGAATTATACTGGTATGATTCTGTGTAGTTAGTTCTCTGACTTCAGTGTCCCTGCCTTGGAGCCTGAGTTCAAATTATGACTGCCCACCTGGCTGTGTGGCCTTCCACAATTATGCTCCACCTTTCTGTGCCTCCCTCTCCTGTCTGTAAAGCACCTCTGCCCTTAGGACTGACATCTGTGGATCCATCTGTGTAATCCCTGAGATAAAAGCTGTTGAGTTACACATGTCAAAAATCTTAGGGATTTTGGCTTCAGCTGGGGAACCTGGCAGGGAGGTCTTGAGCTTCTGCAACTACCCTGTGCCCTTGAACCCACGGCACTCACTGACCAACCAGGCTGACTTCTGGGGAGACTGCAGGGGCTGGAGGACCAGTGGTTGCAGGTGCTTCGGGTGCTGGGCAGGGGTCTGAGCCCAGAGATATATTTTTAAATATATTTGTATTGGTTTCAGAGAGGAAGGGAGTGGGAAAGAGAGATAGGAACATCAATGATGAGAGAAAATCATTTATTGGCTTTCTCCTGCATGCCCCACACTGGGGATCGAGCTTGCAACTTGGGCATATGCCCTGACTGGGAACTGAACAGTGACCTCCTGGTTCGTAGTTTGACTCTCAACCACTGAGCCACACCAGCCAGGTGTAAGCCCAGGTGCCGGAAGCCGGTCCAGCCTTGCTGCTTGACACAGTCGCTGCAGGGAAGAGACATCTGCACAGCTTATGTTTCAAGGGACCTGGCATATATGGCATATATTTTTTTACAGAGAGGAAGGGAGAGGGATAGAGAGTTAGAAACATCAATCAGCTGCCTCCTGCACGCCCCCCACTGGGGATGTGCCTGCAACCAAGGTACATGCCCTTGA